GTTTGTTTTAAACCTGCTACTAGTTCTTATGTTATGGGAACAAGTAAGTATTCACTTACTCCATACCTGTCATGATTTTATAGACCTCTGTCATAGCCCCCCCACTTAGTCTCCTCTTTTCTAAACAGAAAAGTCTTAATCTTTTTAATCTCTCTTCATATGGCAGCCGTTCCAAATCTCTAATCATTTTTGTTGCCTGGTAAACCACCAGGACTAACAAGTCTGTAAAGCAAAGAGAACTTTAGGAGTTAAAAGGCTCAGAAGGGTAGCCCTGCCAGTCTGTAACTTTAAAAACCAGTAGTCCTGCGGCACCTTCGAGACTAACAAAAAGACATATCGAATCATGAGCGTTTGTGGGTAGACCTCATCTGATGAAGTGGTGTTACCCGCACGAGCTCATGAGTCGATGCATATTCTGTGTTAGTTGCGAAGGTGCCACGGGACTACCCGCTGTGTTGAGTTGAGTCACTACGAGCACTAACAGGGTGATTTAGTGGGGGCAGAATCTGAGCCCACAGCAATCAAGGCTCCAAACCCTGACTTCCTCTGAGTTTGCCAAGTCCTTGCTGGGTGCCACCTGTGCCATATGCTGCCGAGTTCTCTGGGGTACACGTCCATCTTGGAAAGAGTTACCTACGGCTGCCACTGCATACTGGATGAGGTTCCTGCGCTGCAGGGGGGAGCAAAGATGCCAGGTGCCAGTTTTAGGTTGAAACTGAAACAGTTCTTGCTGCTCCTTGTCGTGCTTCCCTCCCAGAACATACAGGGTCTCATAGCTCCTACTAGTGCCAGGGGACAGCTCCATGCTCCTCCAGCGGAGTGGAGGACAGCGATTTAACTTCTCTAGCAGCCTGGCAGAGGGATCCTTCTCTCCAGGGTGTTTGCTTTGTTTCACCAAGATGTCGAGGAAGGAAAGACTCAGGAAGGTTACCCTGACCTGGCCCATCAAGTCCAAGAAGTCCTGCTCCCTCGTTGCTGGGTCGTGCATTATCCACTTCAGCACAGTTTCAAAAACCACATCCTCTCGCGGAACAAAGAGGTCGTCACTTTGCAGGAGCTCCAGCAGCGTGTCTTTGGGAAGCATCTCAAACTCTTCTTGAGTTATCACTTCCGTCCAGTGCGTGAGCGCCACGCTGAGAGCTGAGGCATGCAGCTCTGCGCAGGCGAAGCACTGGGCATAGGCCATGAGGCTCAGGCAGTTGGAGACATGCAGCTCCCTCTCCAGGAACTTCTCACACATCCGTTTCACTCTCTCAAACTGGAGGAAGTCGGCTGTTTCTAGGAGGCGGGTGACGTTGTGCGGCATTATGAGCACCGTGGCGCTGCGGGTGAACTCAAGAAGCACTTGGAAAGTCTCTGCCTCTACTCCTCTGATCACGATGTGTTTTTCAGAGCTCTCCCTAGTGCCCCCAAAAAACATGGCCTCAAAATAGCGACTGTGGCGCGAGAGTGCAGCACGGCTGACCTGGAAAAGTCTCCGTCCGATCTCAAGAGTGGTGTCGGGAACAGGTTCTGCCTGCAGCCTCAGCCGTTCCGGCGGCTGTGCACAGTCCATGTTGGCTGTTAGCTGGAGGAGTTAAAATTACCTCAGCCCGTCAGCTCCCTTGGCTCACGTGAGGCTTCTGGAAACGTAACTGCCATAAATATGGGATACGCCAGCCTCCTCCTAAAAATAGACCGTACTGCCTATGGCCCTCTCTGGCTCCCTGTCCGTCTTGTTTTCTCTGAGCTCCCACTTTGCTCCTCTCACACCCTGCAGCTGTGGCAGTGAGGCTGCAAATCAGCACTGAACGTGTTGATCCACTGATAGTGGGTAGTTTATAAACGAAAGAGCAAGCGGTAAAAAGCCCCCTTGGAGGTGCTGATGGATTTCCAGACACCAGTGGTGAGTGACTACAGTTGCCAGGTGTCTGGTTTTGAACTGGACAGTCCAGTATTTGAGCTTTGTGTTTTGGAAACAAACTGAGACAATAGAAATGTCGGGTATTGTCTAACAAAGATGGAATGTCGATTGTGATGTCATGGCATGTGTGTCCGGTATTTTTGCTGAAACCATCTGGCAACCCTAATTAAGTACTCTGGTCTGATTACAGGCCCGAGACCCAGGCCTATGTGGACTCAATGGACTTAGGTGGAGTGGCCACCCACTGACCCAGAAGGGGAAGAACCCCTCTGCAGGCCCCAACAGGCCACAGTGGATAGGCAGCTGATGTCAGCTCCCAAGGAAACTGAGGCACAGAGAGGTGAGGTGATTTGTCCTGGCCCCAGGTAAATCTGGGTACATCTACACTGCATGCTTATTTTGAAATAAGCTATTCCGGAAGAAATAGCACGTCTACACTATAGGGAAGCCTCAAAATGAGTCCGAGGCATGTTTCCCTAATGTGGACGCGCTACCTCGATTCAGAGCCCCAGGAGGCCCTGGGGAGTAATTACTCTGAACAGCCCCGGGGAGGAGCGATTTCGAAACAGCAGGAGCAGCACATCCACCCTAATAGCTATTTCTGAACAGGCATTATTCCTTGTGGCACGAGGTTTCAGATTTTGAAATGTCATCCGTTATTTCGGAATTACAGAATTGCTGTTTAGACACTTGCATTACCTTGGAATAATGGCCGTTTTTCCGAAATAACACGGCTGTGTAGACGCACCCTCTGAGATTTGGAACTGGAGCCCGGAACTCCCAGCCCGCTTCCATGAGGTCATCAAGTCCAGTCTCTTGTGCTGGTAGCAGGACCAAGCATCCCTAGATCATCCCTCACAGCTAATCTGCTCTTAAATCTCTCCAGGGATGGAGATTCCACAACCTCCCTAGGCAATTTATTCCAGTGTTTAACCACCCTGACAGGCTGGAAGTTTTTCTCCTTTGCTGCAATTTAAGCCCATTGCTGCTTGACCCATCATCAGAAGTTGAGAACAATTTTTCTCCTTCTTCCTTAGAATACCCTTTTACGTACCTGAAAGCTGCTATCAAACAAAACAAACCCAATTCTAGCTTCCCTCATAGCACATGTTTTCTAGACTTTTGTTTTATTGCTTTTCTCCAATTTGTCCACATCTTTCCTGAAATGTGGCACACAGAACTGGACACACCAGTTGAGACCTAATCGGCACAAAGTAGAGCAGAAGAATGGTTCCTTGTGTCTTGCTCACACTCCTCTGCTAGTGCAGCCCAGAATCATGTTTGCTTCGTCTTTTTTTTTTTTAAGTGTCACACTGCACACTGTTGACTTACATTCAGCTTGTGGTCCACTATGACCCCTACCTCCCTTTCCGCAGTACCCCTTTCGAGAGAGTCATTTCTCATTTTGTATGCAAGCAACTGATTGTTCCTTCTTAAGTGGAGTACAGTAAAACCTGTGTTACGTGGCACGCTCAGGGATTAGGGTGTTCCAGTTATCTAAAAAATTCCGGTTATCTGAGGGGCCCATCAACCTAGGAAAAACCAATGGACAATAATAGTAAAACTCAGGTTTCTAATAGTGGTAGTTTTGTAGCATGAGGCAGTGGGTCTCACATTTCTATTTTGAGTTAAAGATGATTAGTACTTCTTAAATAAAAAATTAAGCCAAGCCAATCACGGTAAACAAAGCCAGGCCCATGCACCTGAAGATGTGACAGTATTGTGGCTGGGGGCAATGCTGGTTAGTTTTCTGGTAAACAGAGTGCCGGATAACCAAGGGTTCACTGGACTTTGCATTTGTCTTGAATTTCATCCTATTTACTTCAGATCACTTCTCCAGTTTGTCCAGATAATTTTGAATTATGACCTTATTGTCTAAAGTGCTTACAACCCCCTCCTAGCTTCAGGTCATCTGCTATTTTTACAAGCGCACTCTATGCTCAGGTCAGGGAGAAATAGTGCTTCTTACTCGTTAGATCAGCCCCTCAAACGTCCCACCACACCTGACTCCAGCAGTTGTTCATCCTTGCTACCCCTTTCTCCTCTCCTCTCAGCCATTTCTATGCTGGAGCCACAGCAGAGTGTACATAGAACCCTAAGCCAGCAGGGTAGATACCTGCTCGTGGTGGGTGCTGGCATGCACTGTTAAACTAATATAACTTTTCATGTCCTTGCTTCAGTAGCTTTGCATCAGATATGTTTCTAAAACAGTTTGTGCACGGATCACTCTACATTGGTCTGTAGGACAAAAATCCATCCTTTGAGTTTGCTGCAGAAGCCTCTGTACATTTGAGTTCCATAAAATAGCAAGTTTAATAGTTATACAGGTAAAACTCTTAAGTATCACAATTTCAGAAGAGAACTTAAAGATAGTGGCACAGCTTTGATCAAGAGCTCACAATAAAAACTAAAATCCATCACCATTTTATCCTCCTGAAAACAGCTTTTGAGTGGTACAACCAAAGGGAATTTCTCCATGAAGTTTTACCTATATAAACAGGTTATTGAATTAATCTGCAGCTCCAAACATAAGAACGGCTGTACTGGGTCAGACCAAAGGTCCATCTAGCCCAGTAGCCTGTCTGCCGACAGTGGCCAACACTAGATACCCCAGAGAGGATGAACCGAAGACAATGATCAAGTGATTTGTCTCCTGCCATCCTTCTCCAGCCTCTGACAAACAGAGGCCAGGGATACCATTTTCTATCCCCTGGCTAATAGCCTTTTATGGACCTAACCTCCATGAAATTATCTAGCTTCTCTTTAAACTCTGTTATAGTCCTAGCCTTCACAGCCTCCTCTGGCAAGGAGTTCCACAGGCTGACTACACGGTGTGTGAAGAACTCAGGTGTATTCAGAATGTCAACATGCTAGTGACAAAAATGGAAGATTTAGCAGCTCCCACTCTTTAAAATACAGAATTCATGCATCTTTAGTGGCACTGCCCAGACCCAGTTGTGCTTCCACAGATAAGGGCAGCAGTGTTGTTATTGATGCTGCAGGGGCTAGGGGCTCTAGCTGCCCTTTTCATGCGTAGGGAGCTTAGACAACTGGCTTTCCATGTTAGAACTGACATGAGAGGCACAAGAGCAGCACACCAGCCTCTGAAGAGTTTTTATTTATTCACAATTGTTCTGCACTTTACCCCTAAGCCGCGTATGAAGTCTAGAACTGCAGTTACAAATGAACAAGCAGCAAATCACAGACACATGTGCAAGGTGCAAAGTAACCTAGTGGTACGAGACTGCCTACAACAGAAAGTTACATTTTTAAAAGAAGCATAAAGGACAAAACTAGAGTTCTTTCTCCAGAGTCCAGTCTGCCCTATGGAAGAAAACAGGTAACTTCAGTAGGTTTTAGATAACTTGGCCAAAACTCAGATACTAAGAGGCCACTTTTAACACAGATGTCTCTAGGGAAGACTGACTTTACAAATTCCACCAAAGACAAGATTTGAACAAGAGCTGGAAAGTGGTAGGTTCCCTTCTTAGCTCTGGTGGTTGCAAAGAATGATAAGTCAGTATACACAAAAGCTCATTTCCCTGTAAGTATCAGAGTGAGCAAGCAGGCAAGAAATCACTATTACAGAGCCTCAGATGCTCCTTCCAGCTCTGGTGCCTAGAGGAAAGAAAACAGAGCAGAAAAGACAGATCTGAAGAACTGACCAGGGAAGCTTGAAAGTTTTTATTGGGCCAACATCTGTTAGTGAGAAGGCAAAGAAGTTACCTCGCCCATTGTGTCCCCCTACTATAAAAATCTGGGTTTTGGGAATTTAGTCTTTTAGACCCAATCTTCATGCACAGCTGCTGGCCACCAGTACTGTTGGTTCCAAGCAGTTACTGAAAACCTAAAATAGAGAAAGGGATCCCTGTACCATTTAAGACTTCAGTCTGAACACTGACTAAAGCAATTATGTTTTTCTTTATTGAACAAAATCAGAGCTTTTTTTTGTAGTCATTCCGTATTCTTACCACCACCTTTGGCAACCAGTAAAGTAAAAAAAAGTCAAGGTCCTTCTGCCCTCTTATAAAATGAACATTTAAAAAACCAAACGATCTATTCCCCAAAACGGGAAGATTTCTCAAGCACAGTTCGTTATCGCCAATGATTTGCATCCTTGAGGCTTCAGTGACATTCCCAAGAAAACATTAGCCATCCTGCTGCTGAATGAAAGGGTTTGGGATAGCCTCCATTCCATCCTGTGGACAGATAAGAACCACAGATGTTCCTCTGCAAACCACAAGTCCCAGCTGACGGGTGTCCTCTGTTAGTTTGTATTGGTCATCTGGATCTGGAAAAAAAAAAACACCCAGGAATGCTTAGGGTTACAGTAGCAGATTAAAGAAAAGAAACAGAATTCAGCCAGCTTCAAAGACTTAGCTAGTACCTCCCCCTTCGTTCCTCTGAATTTTAAAGAGCAGCACTTAAATGTCTCTATCTTTCTTCATAGGACTGGAAGGGACCTCAAGGGTACGTCTACACCATTGTGCGGAGCTCAAAATAAGCTACGTAATTTGAGCCATGCAAATTATGTAGCTTATTTTGAGACCGTGCCAAATTTCAGAACAGAGCGCTATTCCGGCATCTTCCTTATTCTTGTGCAACGAGGTTTACAGGAAGCCAGAATAAGCCGGCTGTTATTTCGGAATAATGGGTGTGTGTTAAGATGCGCACAACGCTGTTTTGGGATAATGGACGTTATCCTGAAATAGCGTCACTGTGCAGACTTACCCCAAGAGGCCATCTAGTCCAGTCTTCTGCCCTCATGGCACGACTAAGTATTAGTCTTATAATTTTTTATTCCTGTTAGTAACTCTTAATACTCACTTTAATATCAAAAGAAAAGAATAATAAACTCATATGCATATTAACCATTCTCCTAAAATCTTTACAACATTAGCAGGAGTTTAAGTTCTAAGGGCTTGTGACCTTTGAATGACCCATTTTCAGGAATTTCAGGTGATTGAGGGCTGGGCTGTATCTAATTATCCTCAGGATCTCCGAACCTGTAGGAATTCAAGAGTTCACGAAAAAGACCCCTCAAACTAATACAAAAAAGCCTGGAGAAGTAGGTTATAAAAAACTGGTTGATTAATAAGGAATGTGTGTTATGGCGAATGGGTTGTGTAATGGAGGAACGAATAACCACGAAAAGAGGTTTTAAATCATAGAGAGCTGTTTGCCAATTTAGCAATAGTGAGAAGACTGAAGATTCCTTTTTACTCAGTCAGGTACACAGAGAAACAGAAAAAATTCTGTAAGTAATTAGAAAAACCAGAATAAAATCATAAAATTATTGTGGGAAAGTATTCTCCCCTCCCCAACAATGCGTTTTTGATTTCACAACTCTCACAAAACCAGGTCTTGAAAGTCAGGTTAGGGAGGGCAGATCATCAGCAACCTACAAAGAGGGAGAGAAGAGAAGAGCATAGGCCAAGTCTTACCATTACCACATTGGTGGAAGGGGTCTGTTCTTTTTGTATCTGCATCGTACTGTAGAAATCTCTGATCTCGTGATTTAATAATTCCATTCAAGCCTGTTATTTGACTATCTTGACTCATTACTAACTTCAAATAGGCAACATACCTTAAAATGAAGCTGCACATACCCTGTGCGATGACAATGAGTGTGTGTAATTATCTTGTACAAGGTATGTCCGGTAAGGGATCACTTGAAAACTCATAATTGGCTTGTTGTCAGTGTCCTAATAAAACGTGTGTAACAACATTGCATGTGAAGTTACAAGAGTGTATTGATTTCACTGCACGGTGTCATTAACACATGTTCCTAACTGAGGCTGGCAAACAGGTCTGTCTCAAACAAAGGAATATGTGCTTTGTTTAATTTGCATTTGAGCAATAATTAGAGTCATCTTGCAGGAAGAGTGGACAAAAACCTTCTACGGGTGAGGAACAGCAGGAGGAGACATCCTTTCCCTAGACCAGTGACTCTTAAACTTTAAGACGACCAAGGGATACCAAACAATAATTAATTTTTTTTTTTAAAGGAACACCAAGGATTTTTTTGTTGTGCCAAAAAAAAAAAAAAAAAAAAAAGCAGGGGGAGTAATTGAGAGGAAAAAAAGGTGGCCATTTTGAACTCTCTTGTTCTGCGTGGCAAACCTCCGAATGCCTCGCGGCACACCGGTGTTCCCAAAACACAGTTTAAGAAACACTGCCCTAGACGGTCTCTTGGTTCTCAGCTGGAAACATGTCCCAAGAGGGGGACTAACTACAAAAAGGAGGCGGTATCTAGTCTCTGCCCATCAATTCACTGTACAGAAAGGAAGAAAGGAAGCAGCCAATGAGCAGGAAAAGGGGTCCTAATTAAGAAGTTTGGTCAGTCAGACTGCTGAGAGCATGTGGTGAGAAAAGCTTTGCTCTGAATGTACCAATTTAAGCCATGTACCATTGCAACTTTTATTCATTACTTACAATTTATCTCTTTGTAGTCCAGTGCATGTAAGAAACTTATTTTGCTGTTTTATCTAATTCAGTGTTCACACCCAAGTGCCAGTGAAACTCCATTTGGGATAACCAGGTGTGGGCCTATTATTCCAATTAAAGAAATACAGACTTTATATTTCCTTAGGAGAGGTCTGGGAAATACAAGAGATATATATTCATGGGGGAAGTCTACAACTGGTAATGCATTGGGGTCACCCAACAGTGGAGCTGCAGCAAGCACACAGACATAGATTGGAGGGGGTGCATGCTGCAGACAGTTCGCGATTAGTCCTTTGCTGCTGTAGCTTCTAGTCTGGACTAACGAGCACGCCAGATTAGCCAGCATGGACTGTATTCTAGGTACATCCAAACTTGTCAAATAAAATATCACAAACAGAAAAAGGAAACATTGACAGTAGTGAATACAGATCAGACATTAAGAACTGTAACAACCTGATAAGGGAGACAAAGACAAGTTTTAAAAAAAATATATCTATGAGTTAGACAATAAGGAGGAGTTTTAAAAATATATATTATGAAGAAAGAATCCTCAAAAGTGTACTGGTCCATTATTAGACAGAAGTGGTAGAATTACTACAGGCAGAAACATTCAATAAATATTTGTTCTGTATTTGGTACAAACACAGATGATGCAGTCTTATTAACTAGTGTTTAAATAGTATTAAATCTTTGTTTCACAAAGCTCTCTGGAAGATGTTAACAGTAGTGGATTCATATAATGTGCATGTAAGTTTTAAAAGAGCTGGCTGAGGAGCTGCTGGACTATCAATGTTGATTTTTAGTAAGTCTTGGCGCCTGCAGAAGTTCCAGAATACTAGAAGTTAATAAATATGGTGACAATTTTTAAAAATGGTGAATGGATGACCTGGGTATGTGTCAGGGTGGCATGCTACTGATTTCTGTAAGAGTTTGACTCGTATCTCTGGAAGAGATTTGACACTAGTCTGACTAGACCGCATCAGATACAGGTAGGAGAACAGTCTTTTGTCTGGATATTGCAACATCCAATGCCATACCTTTCTGTAGTCACCACATTTGGCAATTGCTTTTAGCATTTCACAGATTTATTTTTAAATCTACTTTTGAAAAATATAACGTTAGCCTAAATAAAACATTGGCCGACAGGAAAGATGATACTTTGTGACATAATAAAAACTCCTACTTTTGAACTTATGTTAGACAGGTCATGAGCATCATGCTGTATCATGAAAGACAATGTAATGCTCACATCATAGCAAGTTTTGTTTTTAAACAAAAAGAGGAAGCAAGGGATAGTGTAGTGGATAATCTGCTTGTGACTGATGGTAATTTTACAAGAGTGCCCTCATAAGACAGCTAAGACTGGAATTTCCGAAGAAAACTAATTGAGTATCAGTAGGCGCTGTGTGTTTAACTCTATTAGGCTTCTTTGAAAATCCAAGCCTGACGGGTTAAAGGATGGGGGGAAGGGGAGAGTAATATCAGGCAATTAGCTGCTGTGAATCAGTGTAGTAAGGTGATCTGCCCCTTAGCACTGGCTCCTGGTTATTCACTTGGAGACTAGTGTGTTTGAATCCATGACAATACAAAAATCAAAGCTTTCAGCTGGCATGCTACATACCTCTCATATATTCAATTGTGCCATCGAGCACAAGGTTTAGAAGAGGATCGAATCCTTTCAAAACTCCGCTAGCTGAAGAACACACAAAAAGCAGTTAGAAAAAAAATATTGTTTTTTACAAGACTGCAGTAACAGGAAGAAAAATCCCAAAGCAAGATGTAAAAGAATGACAAGTTCCTAGATTCTAACCCCCTTCCCCACCCCCTACCAGAATGGGGAACCAAATTGGAGCATCCACCAAAAAATGCTTGGTCTGGGAGAGAGGGGGAATGGAGAATGCCCTTTTCATTATGTTAAGATGTCCTTAGTGACAACAACATTATACAACTTGCTTCTAAAACTTACAAGATTTTCAAATAATTAAGCAAAGAAAAAGCCATTTCTACTAGTGAAACTTTTACATTTTTGTTGTGTGGTCTGTAGATTAGCACCACCTTTCATTCAGAAAATTAACTGCCCATGGATCTACTGGAGCAAAAAAGTAGTTTAATACAAGTCCGAGTGGATTGTGGGTGGGCTGATATAACGAAAATCTGAAAATGTAACAACAAAGACATCGCAAAGTCCCCCCCAAACAGACCAACACATCCCATGTAAGCTCTTGTGGCATGGGCATTGCTTTCATGTGTTTATATTGTAAAGAGTCAAGTACCTTGCTCATGCAAAAGTACGTAAAATGATGATTTTGCAAGGCTTGCAATGAACACATTAGGCAGGATCACGTGGGTTAACATACCAACCTTGAAAAAGCCTTTTACCATTTGTAGTAGCATGACTAGGGATCTTGGACACTGTGCTAAGACTGCATTGTGCTAGGCACTGTTCAAGCAAAAAGACAGCCTCAAAGACAATGGAAACAATGAAGCAAACATCAGCAAGCATACTAGAAAGTGGTATCAGAGCACTACTGGCCTAATTGTTACTCTTTTTTTTTATAGGCATCACAGCAAAAGAGAGTCTAAAGGAGAGATCTGAAGCAGGATAATGAGATGGGTTTACAGAGAGTGAGCATGGAAGACATTATGAAAATGCTTGTTTGAAGGCTGGCATCTTTGCATATTGAGAGGGGAAAAGTAAATGTTTTGATACTGTATGAGAGATGATAGTAAGACCCAGGACAGGCTGCAAAAGTGAAGACAAGATGTTTGATGTGTTAAGAAAAGGGGAGGAACAGTGAAGGGACGCAAAGAGGGGAAGCTGGATGGGACAACTGTCTTGCAGCAACATTCTGAATGGACAGAGGGCAAGACAAACTGTCAAGGAGAGAAAAGGATGCTGCAATAATTGAGACGAGAGCCTGGACCAGAGTCTGAGCTACTTGGATGCATACAGCTGGTAAGGCCGTATCTTAACTGCTATGCGCATATAGTCTCCAATATACAGATACATCACCTAGATACAAAACACTTAGAAGTCAGAGTAAAAAATGATGGGCCTGTGACAGGTGGTGGTGGTGCTTGCAGTGACAGAGAAAGAAGGTGACAGGAGAGGGTTAAGAGCCCTGTTAACCATGCTGGACTTGAAGGATGGATGGCTAGACATCCATGGGGAGATGGCAGAGATATAGGCAGAGATTTTAGTTTGAAAAGAAGAACAACATAGAGACCGACAAGGAGTCCTGTAACACCCTATAGACTAACAGATGTATTGGAGTATAAGCTTTCGTGGGCGAAGATCCACTTCGTCAGATGCATGTAGTGGAAATATCCAGAGGCAGGTATAAATATGCAGACCAGAATCAGGCTAGAGATAACAAGGTTAATTCAATCAGGGAGGATGAGGCCCACTTCTAGCAGCTGATCTGGAGGTGTGAACATCAAGAGAGGAGAAGCTGTTTTTGTAGTTAGCTAGCCATTCACAGTCTTTATTTAATCCTGAGCTGATGGTGTCAAACTTGCAGATGAACTGTAGCTCAGCAGTTTCTCTTTGAAGGCTGATCTTGAAGGTTTTTTGCTGCAGGATGGCTACCTTTAGATCTACTATTGTGTGTCCAGGGAGACTGAAGTGTTCTCCTACAGGTTTTTGTATACTGCCATTCCTAATATCTGATTTGTGTCCATTTATTCTTTTATGTAGGGACTGTCCAGTATGGCCGATGTATATAGCTAGATTGAATTAACCTCATCGACTCATAGACTTTAAGGTCAGAAGGGACCATTATGATCATCTAGTCTGACCCCCTGCACAGTGCAGGCCACAGAATCTCGCCCACCCCTCTTAGAATAATCCTCTCACCTATGTCTCAGATATTGAAGCCTTCAAATACTTTGAAGGCCCCAACATGCAGAGAGTCCTTCAGCTGTGATCTGTGCCCAATGCTACAGAGGAAGGCGAAAAACCTCCAGGGACTCTGCCAATCTACCCTGGAGGAAAATTCCTTCCTGACCCCAAATATGGCGATCAGCTAAACCCTGAGCATGTGGGTAAGACTCACCAGCCAGACACCCAGAAAGTTCCCTATAGCAACTCCTATCATCCCTCCATTGACCTATTTCCAACTGGAAATGAATGGTCAATTAGTTACCAAGATCATGTTATTTCATCCAACCATCCCCTTATCATAGAATCAGAACTGGAAGAGACCTCAGAAGGTCGTCAAGTCCAGCCCTCCGCTCTAGGCAGGACCAATCCCATCTAAATCAACCCGGCCAGGGCTTTGTCAAGCCGAGACTTAAACACCTCTAGGGATGGAGACTCCACTACTTCCCTAGGTAACCCATTCCAATGCTTCACTACCCTCCTAGTAAAATAGTTTTTCCTAATATCCAATCTGGCCCTCTCCCACCACAACTTGAGACCATTGCTCCTTGTTCTGCCATCTGTCACTACTGAGAACAGTCTTAGTTACACTGTGTACATCAGTGTGTGTATGGAATCAGTAGTATTTGTTAGAAGTGCTTGGGCTAGGGGCAAGAAAGGTCTTTTCCCCAAGGATTATCCAATGAAATAAATATTAGTAAGTATATATAAATATGATTTAAGGTTGTGACAAATAAGCAACAAAATATTCCTCCATAGATTATCCTCATTATCTCTAGCCTGATTCTGGCCTGCATATTTATACCTGCCTCTGGATATTTCCACTACATGCATCTGATGAAGTGGGTCTTTGCCCACAAAAGCTATGCTCCAATATATCTGTTAGTCTATAAGGTGCTACAGGACTCCTTGTCGCTTTTGCAGATCCAGACTAACATGGCTACCACTCTGAAAGTAGAGAGGTAGATCTCAGAGTCATCATAGAGAAAGTAGCTGAATTTGTGTTTGCAAATGAGACAATTCAGAGATAAACTGTTTTGGGAGACAAGAAAGGGACCAAAAAGACAGCCCTTTAGAAATCCTCCCTCCCCTACTGGGGGGTAGGAATGAAGATCACCCACTGGACACGAAGGAGCAATTAGAGAGGTGGAAGGAGAACCAGAAGAGCACAAGGACTTAAAAAAAACCCAAACAAACATGGTCAACTGTGCCCAAGGTAGTGGGTAAAGTTAAGGAGCAAGAGGACAGAGTACCAGATGTGAGCTTTGGCTAGGAAAAATCCATTAGAGATTTTGGAGAGAGCAATTTGGACTGAGTGGAAGGGGTGGAAGCCTGACTGGAGAGTCTTGGATTGAACTGGAGAGGAACTTCAGGCAGCAATTGCAGACAGGCATTCAATGAGCTTAGAGAGGGACAGAAGAGAAACAGAGCAGTCACTGGAGAAGCAAGTGGAGACAAGAGTGATATTTTTAAGATGGAAGAAACTGATATTTGCTTGGTGAGGCAAGAGAACCAGAAGAGAGTCAGGGGTTAATAAGAGTGACCAGCAGGGAGATCACAGGATGCATTGGTGTTACTGGAGTACATGGGAGGAATTTAGGAGACAAAAAGCAGTTAGGATTACAGCTGTGGGATTCATTATGTTGCCAATGAATTATGATTTGCAAACCCGCATCATTTAATTTAAAACCTACCTTCCCTACCACCTTGGAATTTTACTCGAATGGTTTTGTCAATATACTTTGAGAGATCCAAGATGCTCTCTTTCTTTTTCTTCTCTTTATCCTAAAGAAAAGGCAGAGTGACATAACTAAAAAGTAAATTGGAATCCTCTCTTGGTTCCATGTTTAATACTTAATAATACATGATTAAGCGTTAGACAGACAGTGCCAGAATGCCCTGCTTAATTACAAGCGTGGGAGTCAGCATCGCCTAGAGGTGCCTTCAAATGACGGATTAGCCAGAGAAGCTGAGCATCCCCATAAACGACCTTTGTTTGGATCTAGATGGCCCGAAGGCCTCGCAGGATGCAGCTTCATTAGCCAGGCTAATACTTAATAATACATGATTAAGCGTTAGACAGACAGTGCCAGAATGCCCTGCTTAATTACAAGCGTGGGAGTCAGCATCGCCTAGAGGTGCCTTCAAATGACGGATTAGCCAGAGAAGCTGAGCATCCCCATAAACGACCTTTGTTTGGATCTAGATGGCCCGAAGGCCTCGCAGGATGCAGCTTCATTAGCCAGGCC